GGGCCCTGAGCCTAAGTGTGTCTTATAGACGACCGCGACAACCTACCATATTTCAACAACTGAGGACGCTAACTTACCAAAAGTTAATAGTTTTTAGGAATTGGGCCTGACACCGCCCACTTTATGACTACAAGATGTATCTCGGTAACCACTTTATCGATTTCTACCAAACTTGGTCTCATTAAGTCTAACTCAGCATATTAACGAAAAATTTAAGAGATAGTTAATTAAAGCACTACGACCAGTAGTTCTATTGTGACATTAGCTCATCACAACACCTCAACTAGGCTTAGAGACTCTATAAATTTTAGAACATATACCCCCGGGTAGAGAGTGTATATAGTCCTCTCTTGACCACAGGTGCCGTATGCTATAGCGGTCACCTCTTATCTGCAATGGCCCATCAGAATACCTGTAATGATTCTTAGTTTATCCTTGGAGAGATCCATGAGTAGCCTATTATCTCTTCAGATTGTACCCTCCAAATACGCTTTCTATCTGGCGTAGACCCATGGTGTTATGCTAGTGCAGCTCCCTCAGTTTGACATTTTCCTTTCTCAGCATTTCCTTTATGGTGTTGGGATCCACTGCAAGGAAGTGCTCAGGTCCTATCGGCGTCAAGGCAGCAGCCGCTCTGGTCAACTGACCAGCTTCCTCATTTCTTTTGACCCCCATGTGCTCTAGTTCCCATATTAGTTGAATAGTATTAACCTCAGCAAGAGCATTAAGCCCATTTGCACACTCGAAAATCTAGGAGGACTTGACCTCGAAAGATGAAAGAGCTTGATTATCGCTCACAATTAGCATCCTCTCACTCTCTCCTCTCACGATAATTTCTTTGAATGTTAATCTCAGTACACAGACTGATGGCATATATCTCCGCTTGAAAGATGTCAGGGAAGGTTGCCAAGGGCACCCGAAGCTACAGTTTGGGGCGATAAACGCTTGCTGCAGTCCCTTCAGGCGTTTTAGAGCCATCAGAGGCACTCCAGGGCGCATTGCTATAGGTGTGCATCCTAAAATTTCTTTTGAAAAAAACCGTTAATATTGTCTCTGGGGAGAAGAATTAGAAGGACCTGGAAACCTAGCTTGTTCCTATACCGAGACGTTAACACCTCGCCTTTGCCAAAATACTCTCCCGCAAAAGGTTCGCTTAGAAGCCTGTTCTACTGTAAGCTGCAGTGGCTCGAGTTTGCCGCCGGCATAAGGGCGCCTTGCTCCCGTAATGCAAACACACGTCAGCAGTTGAATCTTGGTAAGGGGCTTCTTTACCGATCCCAGAGTAGTCCTGGAAATCCAAGCCACCGCACCATAGGTCACTATTGGTCACACTATCATGGGGTACATGCCACTTTGGGTCCTCGGAGTGCACCCGCAGGATTTTCCCGCTAGAAGTTTACTGATCATCATCGCTCTCGTAGCCTTAGAAGTGGCTGCCTCAGTATGAGCCTCCTCAGAAGCTTGGAAACCGGGATAAATCCCAGATACTCCACCTCTTTGGCGACATTCGTAGCGACCCCCATCCAATGTCAAGTTCCTCATCCCCTGGAGAGTTCGTTTCTTCGTTAAGGGAACAATAGCTGTCTTAGAGGGATTGATATTTGATCCTACACCCGCACCCAACCTTTATGCAATCATAAGGCCTTTTTGGACGCTGTCGTAGAGAGTACTTGCGAACTTCCCTCTAGCGATAATCACTATGTCATCCGCGTCACTTTAGGAGCGGACGCCCTCATTAGTGAGTATTTGTAGGAGTTAGGCCACAAATAAGCTCCACATCAGAGGAGATAACACCCCCATTGCGGGCACGCTTTTGTCGTTTGTACTTGAACAACGCTATCGCCGGCTTCGGTTGTGGCGATCCTAGTCTGAAATAACCTAGCTATCCATCCATCGGACAGTTGGCTGAACATTAAGTTTCTCAAGTGGTGCTCTGTCGGCTCCCAAATGGGTGGCGTTGTCGAAAGCTCTTGCGATGTCAGCGTAGGCACAGAGCACTGCCTCTCCACACTCAAAGGCCCCTCGTGTTTCCGCAGTTAGGGCGTACAGCGTGGTGTCCGTGCATCTGCTCAGTCTGTACGCGTGCTGGTTCGTAAAAATAATGTACAAGTTCCAATTCCTACGACCCCAAAACCCTCACTTAGGCCTTTTGAGTGCATAAATATTTGCATTTAAATCACTTTTGATTGTTTTAAATTCGGTTCTGCGACCATCAATTTCATATTTGAAAAAACTCTAAAATTCTCTAACCTGAGAAATTACTTTTCTATATACAATCCAAACTTTCGGAAAAACTTTAATTCATAAAATCCCCGGAAAAAACTGCAAATGTTATACAGTGTTTTTATCACATTAACAGCACGGTTAATCCGGATTAACCTTGCCGTCTGGCTATGCTATAGGAATCTGGGAACAGAAAATTCATTTGACAAATATTTCAATGGTCTATTAGGAATTTCAAATATTCGCTAAGCGAGTGAACTACGATACTACAAATTAACCGGAAGGGTATAAGAGGAGGCTTATTTTTCAAACTAACAATTCAACACACTTTAGCGCAGTTGGCAATTTGCCACTCACATATACAATGATTACTTTTGTAAGTATGTATGCATGCCTATTCAATATACATACATATATGTATGGAATTATAATCCTTCTTAGATTATATTAATTGATAAGACTTAATTTAATTAAAACCATTTGTTTATGCTTAATGTTGCACTTCCTTTTCTGTTTGCATGAAAAAGCTGCCGCAAAAAAAAATAATTCTTTTTCGACAAATTCAAAAAGTCTGACTCACCTGCGGTGCGGCGATTGCCGATTGCACCATATACGCCAACAGAATGAATTTCAGCATCATTTTTGTGTGCTTTGCTGTATATATAATTTTTTTTTGATTTCAATTTCGCTATTTATGGGCAGTGTATGTATTGAATAACTTTGTTGGCTTTGTTGGCGAAAAAAAAAATCCAGTAATTCCTTTTTCACAATTGAATTAAATATCAGAGGTTATTGAAATTCAGTGGCCACCCTTAAAAGCATTCAACAAAAATGTGAAAAACTGATTATTTATTCACAATGCAAAACCGCGTCGATTCGCAAACTCGCCACAAGTGTACACACTTTTGTTGTAGTCTCCTGTAGATACGAGTGGCACGCTTAATAGTAAAACGCGAAAGAATAAAATTTAAAAACTATCGAGGTTTTTTTATATTAAAGTATCTCGTTTTTTTATATTTAATTTGACTAGCTATGAAATACCAAAATATTTTTTGTAAATTTTTTCAATATTACTTTCAAAAATTCACGCTCGTTTCACTTTTAAATTTTCAAGTCCGTTGCCGTTGGCCGCTTGTGGCGCACTGATTTAAAGCTACGGTTAGGCTGTTGTAAGCCTTCTTAGCGATTGACCAACAATCCAAGCTGGACAGCGCGCTACAGGCAACTTCACCGCCCCACCGCCCCACCGCCCCAAGCGTCGTAGTTGGTCGCGCTTCAACTGGAACCGGCAGCAGCAAGCTTCTCTTTACAGTTTAAAAGCTTTAAGTAATTAACAAGTTGTTTTTGTCCCACAATGATATGCGTATGAGTACAACTTTTTAAAAGTATTATCTTGTTTTTATTTCCATTCTACGGTTCTTTGCAGCTACTGGTGTTGTCTCGATCGATCTTGTTTTGTGTGTTGTAAGCGCACAGATTTGGTTCAACAAAAAAATTGCCAATTTTTCCACTCTAGTGTGTGTGTGTGTGTTTTTTTGCATGTAACAAACATAGACATTAGGGTGCTCCAAAAACAGTAAAGTCCAAATTTTAACGCGCTTACCCTCTAGGATTTTTCTATATCGAAAAAAAGCAGATACCCAAAATAATTATTATCCTAATTTTTGGGATCAAAAACTTCACCTTGTTTTAAGAAAATTTTTTTTCGTCTTTGTATTGTAATTATTTACAATTTATAATATTTGTTTTTCATATAATTATTAAGAGAAGACGTAAATCATTTTCGTCTTGAAATAAACGTCCCGCAAGACGAAAAAAGTAAAAGTCCCTGATAATTATTATAAGAAGACGAAAATACTTTCCATGGTAAAATAATCGTCCCGCGAGACGAGAAAAAATAATATTCACGGATAATTATTAGGAGAACATGAAAAAATTTTTAGTCTAACGATTTTCGTCTCAGGAGACGAAAAATCTTCTCCATTGTTCAATAATAATTATACACAATATTTAATTGTATTTCATATAGTCTCTGAAAAAAGTATACCCCTATTTTTCATTTTGAAATAAAAAAATACTTAGAGGTCGCTCAAAGCGCTCAGAGTTTTCCGTGTATTTTATAAGGAAAAAAGCATTGGAAAACCCTAGTTCTCTTCAGGAGACTTTCAATAATAATACCCAATAGTTTGTTTAACCATTTTTTAATACTAACGATTTTTTATTGGTTCCCCCATTGCATTTTACGGGGGTTTTGT